TTGGCCCTCATCTCATTTGCTTTGTAATATCCTGTCAACTCTACCATTACTGTTCCAAACATTTTTTTCCTAATCTTATCGATTATTCGATTTTATATTAAGGGTGACTTTTTTATATTGTCAAAAGATTATAGATTTATAAAATTTTAAAAGATAAAAATGAATTATTAAATAAAAATATAAAAAAATATCTATAATATATATTAATTAAAAATTTTCAGAATAACTACTTCACCTACCGTCCTTTGATGTATCCTTGATTACAACAACAACCACGACTAGTTTAGATATCTTACAACAGGTCATTTGAAGAAGCCAAAGCCATTGGTTAAATTTCTTGTCCAAATTTCATAATAAAAAAACCTCCATTCAAAACAAGTTATATTTATTTCTTTTTTTAATTAAAAACTATAAAATAAAATTAGTTTATTATTAACTCATATACTAATATGCACTAAAACACAAATAATAAATAATATTCTTACTAAATAATAACATATGTTATATCTTCGGCGGCTTGAAAATGAATCATTATGTTTTTACATTCCCATTCAAACTACGGAGGTGTGGCATGAAAAGCTGACACATGTGAGATACCAGATAAAAATGAATTATCGTTGTACAGTTATTAAAATTAATGATCCTTATTAATAACCGCAGCTAATTCTTGGGTGAGATGCATATTTATGGTCGTCTTTAATCTTAATTAATGTCTACTTTATTTAAGTAATAAATCAATAATATTCCTATACTTCCATTTCCATCCCAAAATATCTTAACTTATTATGATCACATTTTGTGAAAATTTTAAAATCCATTTTGTTAATGCAAGGTTAAAAAGCGACAAAAAATAGGGCGTAATCGCAAAAGTGTAAAAAATATAACATTTAATATTGAACATAATCTAAAATATTACATTTGTATAACTTTTTCGATTGTAAACTGGGAGAAAGGAGCCATCAATGGCAAGGTGAATATGAATGAGAGATGAGCATCAAGCTATGTAAAGTTTTAAAAATGAATGAATATTGAATCTATTCTTACTTTCTTCAGTACACCGATTACATGGTTTTATAGCAGTTTACAATAGTTTAGTAGCAAGTCTAACAATTTAACTAACTCTAACAATATTGTTAACAACTTCAACTCCTTAATGAATCTTGTTAACTGTTTAACTATTTCAATAAAAACTCTAAACTCTTTACAATATAATTTTTCGATTGTAATTGAAAACGTATATAACATTTTAAGCTTGAAAACTATCATAAATTAGTATTAAAATTCAGGTTATACAGCAGAACTACCACATATTTTAACCTTTTTACTTTTTTCATTTCATATTTACCCAGCTATACATTTCAATTCAATTTAAGATACTGATTGAAGAAATTTTCGACGTCTTTGAAAGAAATCTTAATATAATATTAAATTTATTAAAAGATATATTAATTATTTAACATATAATATTTTAAAGAAAAAGATGGGTTGAAACCCTCACAAATAAGACCATAAGAATAATCTTAATAATATCCATGGTTGACGATTTATCTTGTTGTTTTAAACATATCTCTTAACCATGAAGCAAGTAAGGAGAAAGAATATTAATGTAAGGCGAAGAATATGTAAAGTGAAAATTGTGTTTTCGACTGTATACGTTTGGAAGAATAAGCATGAATAGAGATGGGCATGAGTTGGGTTGGGTCGGGTTTTTGGTCCACCCGACACAACCTGAGAACAATAAATTATTCACCTAAGATCCGACTTGACCAGACAAAAATAAGATTACACTTGACTCGATATATAACTTAAAAACACAATTCGACTCGACCCGAAATAATAAAAAATATTATTTTTATTCAATAAAAATAGTGACTTAATTTAAAAAATAATATATATAGGGGTATTATTGTAATTATTTCTAAATATATAAGGTAAAATTATATATTTTGTCGGGTCGGTATTTTTCACCCTAAACCTGAACCCGATCCGAACACCACATTTGAAAAAAAACGACCGACCTGACCGAAACCGATTTTTTTTATAAAAAAAAACTTAGCCTATCAAGTCGGGTCGAGTCGGAATACATCGAGTTCGAGTCTCATGCCCATCCCTAATCATAAATAATAGAATGAGATTATGTTTCCGAAAAATATACGATTTTGAATATAACAGAATAATTATTAATTAGTGTGGAACTAATAGCTTAATTTATCTATATTAAGGGCTAGTTGGGAATACTTTTAGCAATGGAAAAATGATTTTTCAACCCATAAGCGATGTTAAATGCTTAAAAATTGATTTAAAGTTATAGTTAGAAAAGTGATTTTTAACCTAATGTTATAAGTTCAAATTTCCATCTTTTGCAATGAAAAATACTTTTGAGTAAATTATATTTTTATTCTTTAAATACTATATTTTTAATTTACAACATCTTATCTAATATGAACATTTTATCTTTTAGAATTACCTTTTAATAGTAATATCAAATATACAACACTTTTAAAATTTTTTTAAAATATTAAATTGGGCTTAATACGACGAGGTGAGTATTTTATGGATAATCTAAGCATCACATACTATGATTAAACTTTTTAATTATTCGGCTTAGGTAGAGAAGTAGTAGCTAGAAATTAATTTTACACACAATTAAGTAATCTCATTCTCTATCTTTCGTTACAACGTATGTCACTCAGTCCTATAGCAACAAGTTTTAATAAATTTCTTAGTATATATATATCTTACAAATTTGACTGTTTGAACACAAAATTTCAAGAAAAATAAAACTCTTTTTGTTCTATTTATATTTAAATGTAAACTATATAATTTAACTCTATTTCAAAGCAAAATGCAAACTGTACCATTTAAAAGGAATAGATTTTAAAATTACATATAAGATTTGATGTAATGTTTAATATGATACAAATTTCTGTTTATATATATATTTCAATTATTTATAAAAATGAACTAAAATCAATGGTGGAGCCTTAGTTGATGAGGGTATGCACGTACCTACTCTAAAATCTGATTTTTTTTATGAGTTGCTTATTTTATTAATAATGTATGTTATAAAATTTTATTTGTGTTCAATCAATTCAAAAGTTTTGTATTATTTACATATGTATGTATATCCTAAAAAATATTCTTAGATTTGATACTGAATAAAATGATATAATTAGTTCATGTAACAATAGAAAGAAAGAATAAAGTAAAGGAGATAATTAGTTGAAACTCAAAGATGAGGGTTAGGGTTAGAGTTAGGGTTAGAAAATTAGGGAAAGTAGGAAAATTATATGACATAGTGTCCAGCTTTTTGTCCCATTTTTTTTATCATTTATTTCTGACTTAAAAAAGTACAAATACACAACAACTTATTAGCCAGCATCTAAACTCCAACAGGGACCTAAAAAACTCGAATTTGGCTTAATTAAGACCCTACTTAACCCCTACAAGGGACAACTCCATGTGACCCATAAATCCCCTTGCTTTTGGAACCCTAAACCCCAATTATTTGCAAGGATTTGTCAACGGAAACTCGTCTCAAAAATAGTGAAATGAAAACAACACAGGCCAAAGCTGGTGGAACAATTTCTGAGCACCATCAGTGTAATCATTCATAATGGTACAAGAACAAAGACACACGTGTCGGCAAAAATACCTCAAGAAATAAATCGCTTACATAAAGGAAAAGATTGCGTTCAAATATCTATACAGATATAAGAATTTAATTGAGTTTAATGCTAATTACACTTGACATTAATTTAGTTTAAAATAATTACATAAAACTTAATATAAATTAAACATATTTATGGCATTCATTTAAAAACAGTAATTACTCGCGAAAAAATTACTTGCCTAAACACTTGATTTAAACTTATATTTTAAAATAGATTTTGAAAAATATACTTTTTCATTAGAATAATATCAGAGGTGCTAACTCATGAATAGCTTGTGAATAGTTTGAATTTGATTTGATTAAAATTATTTTAATTTCAAATAGAGTTGACTTTATTTGAAATCGAATTCGATTCGAGACTTTAACGAGTCAAGTAGAGCAAGGCCCAATTTAATTTGATAAGTTCACAAGTAGTTCGTTAATTTTTTTAATAATTGGTTAGGATGTCGATTGTCTTATTTTTAGAATATATTATATATTGTTAAACTTATTTTTTTCAAGAATAAATATAATATGTTAGTTTTGTGTATTTATGGATTATTACTTTAGAATTTAAACTTTGAAATTGTTTCACACACTATTTTGATCATTTTTTGGTTAAATTTATTCATTTATGTTTATATTAAACTCCATATAGTATTGTTAGATTTTACTTATATATTTAAAAAATAAGGTAAAAATTATAATAATCTTAATGAGAAACGATATTTTTGTAACAGGCACGAGTCGAATAACGAATTCATTTAACAAGTATGAACCAAATAAAATTTTATTGAATTGATCGATTATCATATCAATTCGATTAAAGAACGAGTCAATTTTTTAATCAAATCGATTAATGCTCGACTTGTAATTCATTAGCTCGATAAACCCTTTCAAGTATTTCACATTCCTACATTCAAAATATAAAATATAATACCTACAAGCTCTAAAATATGGACAAATGATTTAGTGTTATTATATTGAATGTAAATAATAAAACAATCATGAACAATGAAAAATAAAAAATAAAAATCAACACAATTTTCTGAATTGTCAGTTTAAAATATAATTTACATAAAAATACTAATTCTCAAATTAAAAATTAAACCCTACTTTTTGGAATTTTGTGTGCGTACAAAAATCAAAGAAAAGTTAAAGGCATGAATAAAAAGGGTCACTTCCTCTAGATTTCTCGTTGTGTTTATTTTACTATAAATACAAGCATATCTGCTGGTGCCAAGATCCATCCACAACAATCCGAATTCCAGGTGCCAATCTCCAATTTTCTTTCTCGTCTTTGATTCCCTGTGTACTTCACTGTCGAGAAATCTCCTAGTTTTATCCAATGGAAGAAGCTTTTAAAAAACTAAATGGAATCAGTTATGTATCGGAGCCTAATCCTAAAGACTCCAACTATCCAAAGAAGTGCGCCGCCTCAACTGATACTGCCGTTTCCGCCAAGACAACTGATACCACCACCACAACGGCGACGAACAAGAGGTCTCTCAAAGAAAACGGTAGTTCCGGTGGAACTATGAGGTACCGTGGCGTTCGTCGCAGGCCGTGGGGGCGTTATGCTGCTGAGATAAGAGACCCACAGTCGAAAGAAAGGCGTTGGCTTGGAACTTTTGACACCGCCGAGGAGGCTGCATGCGCTTACGACTGTGCTGCTCGTGCTATGCGTGGGATCAAAGCTCGAACCAATTTTGTCTACCCTGCGATAGAGCCACACTCGGCGAGCGACCATTTCCTTCCACCTTTTAGCTTCTCCAAGCAGTCACAGTTATCCATAAGGGATCTTAACTGCATCCGTCATCAGTACGGCCAATCTTTTAATTGGTCACCGTTTGCTGCCTTACACGCCGGAGACTTCTCCGTCGGGTCTTCTACTCAAAGAAACGCTTCTTCTCTGAACACGGTTTCATTCCTCGACCTCTTGAATTCATCTTCGAATCCATCTTTCCACGCGCCTCCTCCTCAGTCTCTGGCTGACCATTTTCCATGCATCAAGGGAAGTACTTGTTCTTCTTCTTTACCTTTCAATTTCTCAGCTAATTCAAGCGTTTTGCCTAGCATGTCCGATTCCTTCTCAGGCTCAACCATGACTCTCCCTCTCAATGAATCCAATTCGAGTAACGCAACCGTCGATGATATGGAATTCTTCCCGCAAGAACCTTCTGATTCCGGCTTGTTGCAGGAAATAATTCAAGGGTTCTTACCAAAGAAATCAGACGACCGTACCAGTACGAACTGCACTCAACATTCCATAGCAGCACCGGTGGTGACCGATACATCATTCGGTCACTCCCTGAGCGGGTTGAAGGAGCATTCTGGTTTCTATGCTGATTACAATCAAGGGTTTCTTCAGCAGGTTGAGAGTTTCAACGGAGCCTCTCAGGCGATGCCCAACGCTAATGAAATACCAGTGAAACATCTACAGGTAGGTCAAGACTGCTTGTTAGATGATATCTTTCAGTACCCAGAGTTCATGGGTGGTTTAGCAGCTAGGGTTCAAAACGCTTGAGCGCACCATTATGCACTGTTTAGGGTTTCAAGTTTGTTAGGTACTTGGACGGGAGATTAAAATCGTCACGTTTCTTATTATATATGATGATATTATAATCGTCATATTTTATAGTTTTTATATAACATGTAATGGACGAAATCGCAATGGATTACTAATGTTTTCACGTAGAGCATGTAACTTCCTTTTCTTCTGCATTAGCATTGGAAATAATAAAAAAACAGAGAGCAACAGTGTTTCTTATTTAGTGGAAACAAGTTCTGAACGATGATGGTTTTGAATCGGGTGGGGATAGTTGACTTTGGAACTCTAAAGCCCTGCTTTTGAACAATATACCTCTTATTCTTTTAATAAAAACATAAATTTAATTAATTAACCCTTAATCAACAACTATAATATTAAACCAGTGTATTTATTGGATATAATATCACAAATCACTTTTATTAAAATTCTTGGTCATTGTAACATGAATCAAATGTCTCACCGATTCAGCTTCCAATTTAATGTGTTGAAACATTTATTCATGGAATAAATTAGCGTCTACGTTGGGCGAAGCAATCTCATGAATAATTTATTTATTCGTTGCAGCTGTTTTTAAATGTGCGCAACGGTATCATAGACGTGAGCCGTCGAAATTTCGTAGGTGGAAACCAGAAGCTTATTCCACCTCCATACTCTATATGGCCAGGCTTAGGCCATCTAATTCAACTCTTATTTATTTTCACTCTTAAATATCTCGTCTCATTAATTAATGTAATTAACATGCTTAAATATTGATAGATAGATTAAATTTATATGTAATTGACTGTTGTGGTTTTGACCTAGGCAGTAATAAATATACCAGCTTTTCTCTTTGTCATCACATTTCACTTAATTTAGGTGATGCATGAACATGTTTTTTTAACCGTAAAAACACACTTTCCCCTCTGTTTATTAGTTGGGATGAACGAGGGAAGGGACCATTGTTTAGCAATAGATGGAGGACAAACGGGCAAGCCAACGTCCAAAACGGGGCAGACCCAAGTTGAGGGAGTGGTTACAGTTGCGAGTCAATTAAATGATCTATTCTTTTATCTAAACCCGTATTATTTAATTTATTAATCTCCATATCCCGTTATAATCATAAAGCACTTAAGTTAAAGATCATTTTTACAGGGATTTTAAAATGTCAACACCGTCCTTATTGTAGTAAAAGGAAGAAAGTAAACTACAGTAACTAATTAATTACTGAGAAAATAATCTCAGTTACCGAAAATATCTTATGATATACGATTTTAATCAAATTTTTTTGAATTTACCAAAAATGACCAATAAATTCGCATCGCGAATCTGTAAATCGCAACGCGAATCTGTAAATCGCAACGTGAATTTGTAAATCACAACACAGAAGTCAAATTCGCAACGCGATAGTCAAATTCGCAAAGCGAATCTGTAAATCGCAACACGAATCTGTAAATCGCAACGCGATAGTCAAATTCGCAACGCGATAGTCAAATTCACAACGCGAAATTTCAAATTCGCAACTAGATTTTCGAATTCGCAATACGAATTTAATTTCGCAACAGGTTTTAGTTTCACAACACAAATGTTTTGGGTATATAACAACGCAACAACAACACTCATAACCTAAATCCCTAAATCGCAACTCATTACATCTCCATCTATCACTCTCTCCGACGACATCCGTTTCTATATCCAACGACATCCTTCCCCATCTCTAATTTTTTTACATAATTTTATTTCTATATAATTTTTCAATGATTTCTCTCCCAAACTATCAACTTAATAAAGGTATGTTTTTCTCTAAGTCAGTGATGATATCTAGTTTGTAGCTCGTTTGTTTAGTAAATTAATTTACAATTTGTAGAATGAAATCATCTAATGTTGATCATGTTTGGATAGATTTGTGTTTTGGAGGGTCAAGGGAGAATGTTCATGGTGTTTTACAATATGTGCCTTTACCCATGAATCTTCAACTAAAATTGTCATTAAAAAAGTTAACTTATGAAATTCTAATGTTACGTGTTGTAAAGAAATTGAATTTAGAGCCTCTAAGTGGATTTAGGCTATCTTACCAGAGAAAAGGTAAAGTTTATTTGTTAACCGACAATGAAAATGTTGAACGATTCATTGCTTACATTAGTGTTTTGCAAGAAGATGATGTTACATTGTATGTTGTTGAACCTAGAAGTAGTGAAGTTGGGTCAGTAGTGTGTAATAATCAACTAAGTTCTTCAACCCCTGTTTATGGTGCTCACAATGTACAACGTTGTTAACAACCTCAAAATTTAACACAATTTCATCACCAATAAAATTTTGTTTCACCACATTTCCAATACCAAACACAATCTCAAAACCCACAACCTTTTCCTAATCCAAATCCCAATCAACTTTCAGCACCAAATTCCGGTTTTCGTATTGACCAGTTAGACGATTATGAGCCAACAGAAAAAATTGTGAGTACTAGTCAGTATTCGAAATTTGATCTTGGTCAATACCCAGACTTTGATCTTGGTCAATACTCGGATTTTGATGATGTGATTGAAGAAGAAACATACCCTGCATGTAATGATTTTGATATTGGTCAATACCCGAATTTTGATGATGAAACAGCCGCTACCGAGGAAGATGTTGTTGATGATAATGAGGAGGAAGTTATGACTGTGAATGAACATGTTGAACATCCATTTTGTAATTCATATAACACTGAAGAAGAAAAAGAAAAAGAAGAAGTCCCCGAAGAAAAGAAAAAGAAGAAAATTCCACAGGAGTATAACTAGAATATGCCAGAATTACTTCAGATACCGGAAGAAGAGTTGGTAAAGATAGCAGTTGATTGTTACACAAAAGTTATTCATATCAAGAGAGATGATTGTTTTGATACAAAGGAAGACTTAAAGATAACTTTGTATACGAAATATGTAGAAGATGACTATCAACTAAAAGTTAACAAATCAAGCAAAGATCGTTTTGAAACAAAGTGTATGATTGACAAAAACTGTATGTGGCGTATGATTACAAAGAGGATTAAAGATTGCGAAATGTTTCAAGTTAGGACTTTTATTGATAAACATACATGTTCAAGAACCCAAGTTTTTCCTCACCATAAACAGGCAAACAAAAAGGTGTTGGGTGGTTTTCTGGCTGAGTTAATGTTTTTGAATGGAATGGTATATCGGGGACATAAAATTATGACTGACATAAATGCTCATTTCAAGATTAGTATCTCATATTCTCAAGCTTGGAGAGCCAAATGTTATGCCTTGGAATTGTTGAGGGGGTCGCCAGAAGCATCGTTTTCCCAACTGCCGGATTATTTTCACAATTTAAAGCTGAAAAATCCTGGGTCAGTAACTCATATCAAAACAGATAGAGATGGACGCTTTGAGTTGTTGTTTATCGCCATTGGTGCTGCGGTTAGTAAATAATTATAATTTTGTTGACTCATTTTTGTTATTTGCATGCATTTCACATTTAAATGATTATATTTCTTGTATATATGATTTTGTAGATTCGTTCGTTTATTACTTGCATGAGCCAGTTATTATAGTTGATGGAGCACATTTGAAAGGTCGATACCTTGGAGTAAACTTATTAGCAGTAGCCATGGATGCTAACAGTGAGATACTGCCAATAGCTTACGGGGTTGGCAAATCATAAACCTCTGATTCATGGACATGGTTTATGGGGCATCTTAGGGATTGCATAGGTCATATTAGCAATCTGACAATCATATCCGATAGGGCAAACTCAATTGATAACACTGTTAGAAGGTGTTTCTCATATGCTTTTCATGGACTTTGTGGTGTTCATTTGTACATAAATCTAAAATCAAGGTCTGCTGGTATAAAAATTCACAAATGGACATATTGGAAGGCTGTAAAAGCTTATCGGGAAGTGGATTTTAATAAGCATATAAATGGTTTAAGACGTGTTTTGCCTCAATGTGCTCAAACACTAGAAGATGTTGGGTTTGAAAGATGGTCAAGAGTATATCAACTTGGAGCAAGATATGGTTTCATGACTTCTAATAGTGCATAATCAATCAATGCTCTAAGTCGTCATTCCCGGAAATTACCTATTACTATGTTAATGGAGTTTTTTCGAGTCTCTATTCAACAGTGGTACTACAAGAAAAAAACCATGCATGTATTATTTCTTTAAATTCGTAACTTATCATATATTTTACTAAGTATTATTTCTTTAAATTTACAAGAACATTGGAACGTCGTGTTACACCATGGACTGAAAAAAGATAACGAAACGTGTTGTGAAGTCAACGTCATGGAGAGTTGAACCATGTTCAAACACTTTGTTTGAAGTATTGGATAATAACTTAAATGGGCTTGTCGATCTAAATGCAAAGACGTGTAGTTGTAAGAAATGGCAAACATCTGGTTATCCGTGTGACCATGCTATAAAAGTTGCTCTTCATCTAAACCAAGATGATTCAAACGCATACGCTATGGATTGCTACACTACAGAAGTATATCGACAGACTTATGCCGAGATTGTCTACCCATGTCCACATCCTTCTGAGTGGGACATACCAGATGACTTACAAACAGTTTTGCCACCAGTCATGGACAGCAGGCTACCTGGCCGACCAAAAAATCACGATCGTATACCGTCTAAGGGTGAAGGAAGAGGATATCGACATGTAGTCGGTGCAAGGAAAGTGGTCATACAAGGTTGACCTGTGGATCACCAGTGCCATCACAATCATCTTTTCCTCTACCAAAAAATGAATCCTCATCAAAATCCAAAGCTCATATGGTGCCAAGCAAAAGGAAATTAAAATCGCAATCAAAATCAAAATCCCAATCACAACAGGATTCACCTTTTGGGACTTATTAACTTAGGTGATTTTTAAATGCAAACGTCGTATTATGTGTATTTTATGTGTTAATGCATACATTTTCAGTTTGACATTCATTAGTAACTTGAGTTTGAACATTACTATGATCTGTTCAGTTGTTATCATATTGGGATTTTCTCTTGTGTTTGAT